TGGCATTTATACGTTCATTGTTGACCTGCTCGACAAGACACTTTGAGTAATCCCTCCGGATCCAATCGCAGGAATGGAATGCCTATTTTATGACTTTAAACACTTATGAGATTGAACATTCCACTTTTCAGTGTGATCTTCTCCTTAGATGTTAGAAGAACGAGCTGCATTCGGTTTGTTAATCATAGAGGTGTTCTCTGTCTCCTGGTCTGAGGTGCCTTTTCGTTGAATTGCATATTTGCTGTTCGTCAACAGCGGCATACGGTCACTTGGGCTCACTTGTCCCTTTTCCATACTGCTTATTATCTTTTATTCAAATTCTCCCCAGCGCCATTCTAATCCCCGTGTTTTTTTCCCCATGACAGGTTTGTGGCAAATCGTTTCGACATGTGAGCGGTTTCTACGCTCACATTCGAATTCACACGGGTGAGACCCCGTACAATTGTGAACAATGTGACAAGAAATTTAGCAATGCAAGCAATTATCGTATGCATATGAAAGTGCACACAAAAGAAATGCGATTCCGGTAAGTCCTGTTCAGCCCCATTCCCCACCCCCACCCCGGTCCCGCAACCCCGAGTCCCTTGACTACCTGGCACATATTCGTTTGTGTGTGTGTGTGTGTGTGTGTGTGTCAAGTCATGGGGTGTGAATACAATGACTACAATGAGACTGCGTTTACCAAATATTAGCCAACTGTGTGCTAAAATTGTATAGAAAATTTCTGATAGGGACGGGATCATGTGCTATGCACAGTTTATTTGTTCAATCTGAGCTCTCTATAGAATGTGAGTAGTGATGTTCAGCAGGTGAGTAATGTGGGATTACCTCATGGTAATAGGAGTGGGTGAGGGTATGTTGCTGAGTCCCGTGTTCACATCAACGGGGAAAGCAACAAACTTATGACTATGTATTATGATTAAGCCACCTTGAATCAATCTTCTGCAAAAAAGTCGGTGCATATTCCACCCGAATCCATATCTATTGTTGCACCTAAAATTAACTACACGAGTCGGCATTTAATTCGCATTGCCGTGCCAACTGCACCAATTAAGTGATGGACGGTTTCGCAGTTAGTATAATTTCTCACTGTTATTCGTGTCATTACAAAATTGGGTAACGCCCATCAATTTGAATCATTTGTAAGTGGGTTTGGGCATCGCAGTTATCAAAGTAACTGCATAAATCGCTGGTGGGGTTTGGGCTCGTTGAAAAAATTTCGTAAGCAACGATTCTGCTGATATTCATAAAATTCTGCTCCTGATTTCAAACCTAACAAGGAACTAATGTTAACGGTATAAGTGCTTCACTGCCATTGCATACATTTCCACTATGTGTCTAAAGAGTTGAAGATAAACTTACATTTATGATAGAAGGCATTCCAAAACATTTACTTTCCCATTACTTCACTCAAAATGAGTCACGTTGGACAAAATTATCTCCCCAGTTGATTTTATTCAGTCCAATATTGCCATTTCCTGTTCTGATTCCAGTTGTGAAACTTGTGGCAAGGAATTCATCCAACCCAGTAATTACAGTCGCCATTTACGAATTCACACCAAAGAACGTCCGTACGCCTGTACTCTTTGCTCAGCCCAGTTTCCCTACTCCACCTCGCTCAAACGTCATCAACAGCGTGATCACGGCATGGATTTGCTCAGTTGTCGGGTTTGCAGTAAAACGTTCCTAAACGAGACCAGTCTCATTCGCCATCGTACTGGCTGTGAATTGCGTGCCTGTGTAACCAGTACTGGGGCGGAATTGTGTGCTCAACTGCTCTGATTCTTCTCTGCCCCTGTCCTCATTCCTCTCTCTCCCTCCCTTCCGTGTTCCGTTAGATCGGACAATTCTGCTGGTTTTGGGGGCCTTTGATGACGAATGCGTATCTGCAACTACAAGCTGGTGAATACAAAGGGNACAAAGGGGGGGGGGGGTATATAATCACACGATATCATTTGATTGGTTGCTTTACCTCTACCAACCTGCCAACCACCACCGCCGCCGCCACCACCACCACCACAAAAACAAAATGAGGTAGATTCAGGTGTTCATATACAACCCTGAATGTACCTTCAGACTCCCTTTCCTGATTGTTCTGAGCAGGCTAGTCAATTAGGACCCACATTCTCTTGCTTCCCAATCCATTAACGCGATTTTTCATCCCCATGCTTCTTCACTCATAGTGAATTGCCTCACTGTCGTTGCCTTGTTGTGTCAGCATTTACCGGCTAATCTTCATTCGCTGAACAGAGCATCTGTTTTGCACGAGTTTCTTGGCCTAGAGGGGGCCTCAAGTCACTTATCTTTCCCTGTGTGTCAGGCTGAAGTACCTGATAAGATCATTCTTTGACCATCGTCACACAACCTATCGGTATCATTCCACTTACCCGGTTAAATACACTAAAAAACCCCGTTCTACTCCCTATTCAATATCAAGGGATGGAACATGACCGTTCTAGATTCGATTTGCTATCATCCTGGACAGAATTTCTCTCGCCATTCCCATCGTTTTTCAGCAGGATGTATAATACCAAAACCAAGGAATGGACGAAGTTCAAGGCTTTTCTGGGAATTTCTTTTTTTTTTCTACGGTAATTGAAACTCTTTTCTTTATTCCATCCTCACGGGACTTAGCTCGTATTTGGAATGACGTCACTCTTAATACTGTTTTTTTGTTTCTTATAAAAATTCGCTTGTTTATTTATCTGAGGTTTTCCACTGAATCCGTTCATTTCGAAAATTATCATTGACGTGATGATGATGGTGAATTTGGGCTCCCATTTCTGGGGAAAATATTGGTTTTTGATTGATTGGCTGCTTTTCTTTTAAATTTGACGGGGAGGGGGAAGGGAGCAAGGGCAGAGTGGAATTTCTCCATTTGTCCAAATATTGTACTTGTCTTTGCTGCGTGTAATGGCTAAGCGATCGGTATTTTCAACTTTGATTACTTCTGAGGGGAATGGATTACCAGAATAAACAACTCCAGAACAGTCAGGGAGCCACCATGGTATACATTGGATTCCACGCAAAAATGCTCCAGTCCTCAGAGCTAGAAATCACCGAGCGGTCACGGGGTAATATTGCGATCAGCGGAAAGTAAGGTGCATCTTGATCAAAGTTGGCTGCAGTTGATAGTCCCATTCTGAGTCGTATTGACTGTTTATGTGCTCCTGTTAAGTGTCGTATTCACTCCTAAAGGGGCTGAGGTTTCTGAAACAGTTCAGTTGTCAAACTCATGCATTATTTTGCCACACGCGATACTCTCGACCAAAGTAAACTTGTCACTAAAATTGATAATTTTCATGGTGTTGGTGCCAGAAGAACTGTAGTGTCTCTTATTCTATTGTCTGGTATGACTTATGTAGGTGGAAAAGTTTAGAATAAAACTTGGTACACCGCTAAATATGTTATAGAAAGAGAAGAACCTCTGGCTCAGCCCAGATATCAAGAAATAATTTATTAACCAAGGTTACTACAAAGTTTACTTGTCACTCTCCTTTTGATGAGAACACGTGCTATAAACTATGACGGAGTGTAGAGTGCATGTGTACGTGTGGAAACGGTTTCGTGTAAGTGCAATTGGTGGATGAGATCTGAAGGCATTCTCTTCGAGCAGTCAACACAACAAGCCATGTGAGGACTGAAAAATTTCACAGTTACCTTGCATAACTCAATTGAAGAAATCTGACGGAAAATGGTTAAACCGTGGAGAAAGATTCGAGAATGCTGTTTAATTAGGACAGGAATACAATTGTAGAACAATAAATTACGATAGGGGAAAACACGTGTAAAAATAATTGTTTGTGAATCGAGAATGTTCACCGCTTCATCTAGCCAACACAGTTGTGGGTATGAGTGGAAAAAGAATTGTTTGGTAATAATCTACAAAGATTATTGACTATAGTGTCCTTAAAAGGTGTGGACAGAGTTCAATTTAGTTATTATTTATCACTGCAGAGCTTGTAGGAAAAAGAGCATGAAAAGCCACGAAGATATTTGGAAGGTATTCTGGGTTTTAAACTCGAACCAGATTTGCAAGAGAAAAGCTAAATTTAAGACACTAATATCTTAGAAAAGCTCAGGTATGAGAAATAAGAAGTCGGTTGTCACAGGACAACATCATCAACATACTTCAACCCAAATGGTGGATAAGCAAAAGAAACAAGATCGATGTATGTGGGCAGTTGTAGTGATTGTGTAATAGCAGTAATACACACGGTTCTCGGAACACGAACAACGCAATGCGAGTCACGGAACATGAATCAAGGATCAGCTATCACGGACTGGATCACGTAAGCACTGGACCGTGCTGGCACCAGCACGCAATATCCCACGTGACTGAGACGTGAGGAAAAGGCCACAGGAATGGTAGTTCGTTTATTAGATGTAATAAAGGGGATTAAATAATATGTACAAAGTAGGCTCATTGGTTATCCAGGCTTCTACCAATCGCCTTCCAGTATTGCTTGCATCATTCTGCTTCAGTCTGGGCCGAACGATCTCCGATTAGCTGCTACGATCTGCCTATGGTATGAAGTCAGAAGCAGTGACACGTACGCGCGTCTTTGACGTCACCCCTGAGGTTTGATNGTCCATAAACTGTAACGCGCCGCTCCAAGGCAGGCGTCATCCCGTACGCCCGGATCACCACAGAAATGCCCATGGGGACAGCACAGACAAGGCATGGCAATAGTAAAATTTCTCAACAAGATAAGATGTTAACTCACAACTCTCACCTTGCAAAATCACACCATGTGAACAATCGATTGGTCAGTCTACAACCCTGATTTGAATTCCATTGCAGACGCATGGAACGGAAGGAGTTATTCACGCATGCGCAGGGCTGAAGAGGGCAATCTTCGGTCAGTTTTGTGAGGAATGAAATAAACTATAACGAGAAGGTTATTGACAACAAAATGCGTTTTTCTAGTAATCAGAATAGACACGAATCACGAACCGTGGCTCACGAATCAGGAATGATAGCCGGAATCGAATCACGGAATTACAGTAATAGTCGTCTGGCGAAGTCTACCGTCAACGAGATGCAAGAAGAAAACCATGGAAGTAGAGATCGGTTTCTTGAAAGAAATCAACAGGATTAGACGGTATACACAAAGAAATGTAATTGGTTAAACAAACATCCACCCACCACCATTCGTTTTTGTCGCGTCACTCGGCTCTTGTTTGAATCACACGGGTTTTGATTGGTTGAAACTGTTGGTATCCAATTCAACACCCCGAAACTGTAACGTGTAGTTTGACCTTATCCCGGAGGCTAGGAGGGGCACAGTTTGGTGGCCTGAATAGAGTTCCGAGCTCCTGGATCGCATTGGATGCAATCAACCACAAACGGTGCTTCTGATATTGATGTTATTTCCCCCTTTTAACGTACCTGGAATATTTTTCTAACTGAGAAAGTTTCCAAACGAAAAAATCCTTGAGCTCAGCGGAGAAATGTGGGTGGACTTGATAGTATTTTTGCATACAATCAACTGGCAATTTCAAGTGTTTATATTAAGAAGTTACCCGATTTTTTCGTTTAGTAAACATATTCCGAGGAACGAAGTACGCAGTCGGTCAATCTGACAGTAATCCATCTGTTGCATTTCTCGCTAATAACTCTGATCTGAAATGTGAACGTGAGTGAAATGTTGGAATTGTGCAAACGAAGATTCGCCTGTCCGAAAGGTCAGAAAGAGCTACTTTTAACATCATTCAAGCATTACAAACATCCCGAGTGCAACTTAGTTTCTCCGTAGGTGTTCCCAGTTCCATTGAGCCGGCATAGGCCAAATTAATACGAGTGTTACCTCAAATGCTTTCGGATATTTTGTTTACAGAGCTCTATTTTATAAGTTTGAGCTCATAAATACGGTTGGTTCGGCTTCAGGTCTCAATGAATAATATCCCATGGATGATGTCCGACAATTCTCACCTAATTTTAAGTAATTCAAGTCAGATCGCAGGACTTAAGACTGTTGCCAAACACTTACCTGGGATCCCCGAGAATATTGTTCTTCTCTGTTGAGACAATTATGAATTTGTTTGGCTTTTTTATGTAAGAACTCAATCAATGATGTTTGGTCACCTTTGTGGCTAAGCTGTAGCTCTTTTTCAGATGATCGGACGCAGGGTGCACATAAACGCTACAGGGTGGCCTTTGATCGACACTTTTGGACCAGGTAACCCCGAACTACATGTGGAATGGAACATGTAAGTAAGGTAGTCGGTGATCTAAATATCAAATTCACCAGTCCAGATGATATCTGCCCAGGCATCGTGAAAAATAGTGAAGAGACTAAGGGAGCAATCTTGTATACTAAAGGTGAAAAGACAGTGTTATTACATCATAACAAGATCTTACAACGAGGTATTCTACCAAAAGTCTGGAAGACTGAAACCGTGGTGGATATTCACGAGGAAGATCAGAGGCTTTAACTGAAAAATCCCCGAGCGGTAAGATCTTATGCGAGTGCATAGGATTGCATGCGATAGCCTGAAGAACTGGGGAAAAACATTAGGGTGCAAAAAAGGTACATGTTTTACTCAGTGTAGTCTTGTGGCAGTGTTGATTGGATGAAGAAACGAGAAGTGATTCATGGTGACCATTTTATTCAGCTTTTGTTCGTAGTCAACGTTGACATGGACTCTGATATTACTTATTTCTTTTACTTTGCTCTTTGTGTTTAACCAAGCACGGATTTCCGATCAACCTTAAACATTACCTGAGTGCATTTGCAACGCACGTGACAGGTGACACGCCTTCTCTCGCATTTGGTATTTTTCACGATCATACCAACGGCTGAATTCACCCAAACTGCATTACTCATCACCATCGGCATCGAAAGAGTGCCGTTTGCACCCTTTTCAGTAAACCCATTGGATTCTGGATGATCGGGAGCAGTGAACAAGTGACAACACTCTAGTGATTTTAACCAATCATCCAATACCTTGACACTGAAAAACCATCATCTGCCAAAACTCAAATGGCACTTCTTTTATACCAAAAGTATTGCATGAATTAATATGAATGAATTCAAGTCTATTTCGCCTGTTCACCGAGCTTGGCAATTTGTTTGCAAACGTTTCCTCGCCAATCGAGGTGAAATCGTCAGTGCTTGTGAAGTGGCAGTCTTCTGCTTGTATCCGTTCGTTTATATATTTGTTCTTCTCCACCGACTAATTCTGTCCCTTGTTCTTATTGTGTTCGACTGGGTTCGCTGTTAAACTGGTGTGTGGGGGTGAGGTTGGTAGGGGAGGTGGTTGTCCATCCGTCCTGATTGCGGTTCCGGTCTGTTCTCAGGTCACGGCGTGACCATTTTTGTTGCGCCATTTGATCCTTCAGTTGCATTGACATGCACAAGTGATCTAGTTCAATGTGCCTGTTGATTAAGTTGTTGAGGGGTGCCGAGCTTCGAGAAATTCTCTGGCGTGTTTTGACCGGGCTTTGTCGATAATTTTCACTGAAGCGAAGTCAAACTGATGTCCTTCTTGATCTTCGTGGAGGAAATCAAAGATAG